AATATAGTAGAATCTTTAGTAAACAATGGTCAAACAACAATCATAATTTCAAGAGGATGATTTTGTATAAGTAAATTAGTCAACTTTACGCAAATGTAATGTCTTTTTTTGTTTTTTTGTTTTTTTTTGTAATTTCAAAATGAAAGAAAACATGCTAAAATTGGCATAAGAAAATGTATCTCGATAATTAAAATGGCCTAAATATAAGGTTACTGAATTTGAAATTGTGTCAAAAACACTCAACTGTTAAAAATATAGTTTAAAGTGTAGTAAATAATAAGGAGCTTTCCATTAAAACGAAGATGGTTACAGCTAGAACGTACTTGGATACATAACGTTATCTGCGCATGCGAAACGTCTGATTTCTAGACGCTGTTTGGAATGAATCAAAGAAGCAGGACGGTCACGTTTCACTTCGTCACTGAATAATATTAAAATACATAAAAAGAACAATTACAACATTTAGTCTTGTATGTATTTGTTAGTGGAACAAGACACGAATCCCAACATTTTATCATTGCCACAGTGGAAACTGAATTATACTGTCGTCCTGGATTCTACCAAACCGGAAAAAGCTGTGAAGATGGTAAGTCGTTTAAACAACCATAAATTAAATAGAAAACATAAAAATATTTATCATTAAGAAATCTTGGTATCATTTCTATTATTTACTTAAAAGACCTATAATACCGTAATTAATATGACAGTTATACTAATTTGTATCAGAGATTATAATTGAGTTTGTATGTTCATAACTTCATTGGTGTGATTTCAATAACATTGTTTAGTATTATGACCTGAGTTGTTTCCAGTACCTGTATTATTATTTCTAAGTTTGCTACAGTTAAAACTAATTCATAATTCTCGTAATTTTAAATAGATTGCGTAGAAACTAAAAAAGCACACAGGGTCTGCTCTCCCGAATTGGATCAATGTTGTCAGAATGGGGGAACATGTCTCAATACCAACTACGATATAACCTGCAACTGCTCCGATGGTTGGATGGGTGATTACTGCAGTGAGCGCTGTCCAGTAAATTTCTACGGTCCAAGATGCAGCCTAGAATGTCCGGCTTGCAGTAATGGTGGTACATGTGATCCAGTTAAAGGGCAATGCGACTGCTTGCCCGGCTGGACTGGACCAACTTGTGATGAGAAATGTAGTTCGGGGTGGTATGGAAAAGACTGCGCTCTTGATTGCAGGAGCTGCACCTTGGATGGTGGTCAATGTCATCATATAACAGGTGAATGCGAGTGTGCACTGCCATATGGAGGACCATCCTGTAGAGAGATCTGTCATGATGGCGATAATGTACTATGTGGCTGGTTCCCAGACTGTTGTCGCAATGGAGCTACGTGTGACCAAACTGGCAGAGAGAGTAGATGCAAATGTCCGTCTGGTTACTGGGGGAAATTTTGTGAAACACGCTGTACAGGTTTTTGGGGAGATGGATGCCATCGTAGGTGCTTATGTAATAATAATGCAACGTGTGACCCAACAACAGGGGAGTGTGAATGCACTCCTGGTTGGTCTGGCAAATACTGTCAAGAAAGTTTAAAGCCAGCGATTGACTCTTTAAAATGTCCAGTCAATTGCAGTAAGGATTATGGTTGTGACCAAGATGGATATTGCTTATGTCCATCAAATTCCACATAGAGTGAAGACACGTTGTCGTGCCTCCGGTAATTTCTTTTTTAAATTTATACGCCTGTGTTCTGCATTCAGCATTTTGACCATGACACCAATCAATAATGCAACTACTTACTATACATTTACCATTGACACTGACAATTACTAACATTACCACTATACAGTACTACTACCAGTGAGTAATAATAATGATCTACTACTACCATCATCATTACCAACACATTTTTACGAGAATGATAACATTCATTTGGATCAAAAAGTTGTGCTACAGAATTTTCCCTCTGAAGAGAACGGATTTGCATTATGTTCAAACATCCTTTGGCACCAGGAACGTTAAAATCACCAAAGAAAAAGATTTAATCGTAAATTGAACTCATCGATCACTTCCCAGGGACCCCTTGTACCAGAGAATAAATGTCATTACTGTACTTGAGCAACAATCATCATATAGTCGTTGGTTTCAAGATCTTGGCGTCGAACAGACGTAAGAGATGACTCTACAAAGCGAAGTAGGATTACACCACCTCCATGCTTTTTTGACCTGAAAACATAGTCTTTTCTGTAAAGATGGTATCCGACATAGGCGTAGATCCCGGGGGATGGGGGATATATCCCACCAATATTTGACAAGGGGGATGGTCCATTGCATCATCCCCCAATATTTTGACTATGTATGGGATAAACTGGAGTTTTACACACTTCAAAAGACTGTCACAGAAATAATTTGCACTGTCTTAAGCACTTACAAAGATGAAAATTAGCATAATGTATTAATGTTGATAACAAAATTATTTTATCTGGTACCAATCTAAGCTCTTCTTTCCTTAGATATGTGCTTGCAAAAAGAGCCACATTTCACACTCAAGGGTGTGTACAACATCAGTAATGTTATGTCAATTCCAAGAATGTTTAAGGTTATATCGGTTGATGAGGAATTTATTGATTAGGCCTATAATAGCAAAATGCATCAATTTATTTTGCAAAAACAAGAATTCCAGCTTCAGAGGGGGGGGGGCACATCCCCTGTCCGCACAAGGGCACACATTGGCGCCAACACCAGGCGCGTAACAGGGGTCTTGGGTCAGAGTGGGTATTTTCCTGGTTAGTAATTATCATACCCACCCCACCCTACTCCACTCCCCATATAGAAAACAATACGACATAGGGTTTATCTTATTTATAATATACGCCAGACACGTGTGTTTGAAACTAAATACTGTATAAGCATTTTTCATCATGGTTTTATATATTACAAACATATTCTTTCATCTTAAATTTGTCTTTCTTGAGCTTGGGACTATTATTAGGCTTATGTGTTTATATAACTTAAAAAGATAAACCTAAAAAATGCGCCCGAAGCGCGCAAAATATTCATGTGTTTTTAATTCTAATTTCGTCGGAATTGATGAAAACTCCCTAAAATGTGCAATTTTTAGAGGAAATTGGCCCATGCTAACAACAAGAAATGCGCGCGAAATTTGAGGTTTTTTAGGCACTTTCAGGGGATGAAAAGGGCATTTATAAAGGGGTGGGGAAGATTTTTCAAAGATAGATATTTTCCCCTTGTCCCCCAGTGGTTAAGCCATCGGGCAGCATAGATCAAAGGAGTTATGACAGTTTTTGAAGTGGAGAAGGGGTTGCAGGGTGTTGGGAGTCTGGTCATTATGATATCTTCCTTTCTTGTCTTTATTTTTCTCTTTTCTTTTTATTTTTCTTTCCTTTTCTTTTTTTCTTCTTTCTCTTTCCCTCCCTCTCCCCTTTTTCTTTTCTCTTATTACCCAGCCCGGTACGACGGCTTGGTCAGCCCGGTAAAAACACATCCCTTTATCATATAGGACTCTGTGGTGTACTGATATGACCTACTGATACGACACCGAGGCTAACACGCCAATCATCCCCCCCCCCAATGAAAAAAACTTTTCTACGCCACTGAATTTAACCACGTTTCTATCATAAATATGCAATCATATTCCTAAAATGACTGAATTTTGCCAGATCATGTAGTTTGTTGACTTTCTTTGAGACAGTCTTACTGCTTCTACCTTTCATGTGTAGGCAATTTAGTGAATTATTACCGTAGGTTCAACACTCTTTTATGTGGATAGATTGGGCAGAACAGGGTCGGAACGGCTGTCCAAATTCACATCGTCTGGTAGAGTGTTGTGTTCAGAAGGACTATCATGTGATTCTATTATATCGCAGTTGTAAATGGTAGTAGTTTCCAACAATTATTTATTTATTTATTCTGTCTTTCTACTGCATGCACTTTCAGTACTGTGTACATAAAATACGAAAGTTAAAAGAAAAGTAATTAAAAAACATACATATATATAAATAGATATCATATATACAATAAAAGTGATTAAGAATTAAAAGATTTTTTTTTAAATATAATAGACATGTCCATGAAATTTGTTGTTGTTTCGTGTGGAAGTTCATTCCACAACTTTGTTGAGCGATACAAAAAAGTTCTCTTAGTTCTGTTAGTTAAGATTAGATATCTTAACTAACAACGATTGCGTCGAAAATGTTGATGATGTTCCTTAAATGGGAATATGCTTTTGACACATTTATTGCAAAAGTAAACAAAACAAGTATCACATAAGAAAAATTTGCTGGAGATGTTGAAACCCTAAGAGCAATTGGTTCATCTCAGTTTGTTAGAAAATGGTCTTGGGTTGGTTGACACGTCACCAGCAATAATAACTAAGGTTCCTAAAGTTTTATCTCTTTTTAAATCAAATTTTTATTTGGTGAAATACAGGACAATTTTGAAAAATTGTTCATTCTGAAATGTTATTTAAGATAAATAAAATGAAATAAAAAGTAAAAGTTATGTGATGTTAAGCATTGATGATTTCGCATTTACACAGCTCGGGTTTAAGTGTAGAATCAAGTATTGATCTTATTGCCATTTGATTTACAAATCAATTAGAATGGTGCTTATCTATACAGTAGAGGAAAATTATTATACTTAGGTATTAATGCATTTTTAAAAAATCATTCTGCCCTTGCAAGCCCTCAGAAATTTTTTTTCTTGATTAATGTGACCTTCGTATAATAATTTTTCACTAATGTATTGTACGCAACTATTCTAATTTCTTAGTAGCGTTGGATGCAAATAGTTTCTACTATTGTGTAACAATCTACTCTTTTTACCGTCGCTTAGCTGTCACTTTGTTTCTAAATCAAGTATCCATCGGGGATTCCCAATTTTTTTCCTTTCGTTAACTTGTTAGTTCTTTGCTAAACCCTCTTCTTTTTCATTTTTCACTGACGAATATTTCTGTTGAATAATATTAATATGTGTTGCTTTGTATTTTCTCAATTTTTTTTATCTTTCAGGATGCCTGACAATATCCAAACATCTACAATTGCAAAAGATAATGACAACTTAAGTAAGAAATCACAGTTATTTTATATATTTTACTTTTATAATTAATCATCCTCCATCCATACATACACAATCTACATATTTCATGGCATGTCAAAGTTATGTTCTAAACAGAAATGTGTGACCTTCTTAATTACACTGTGACAGTTAAAGTGATAAAAGCCTTGTTCCGACGGTGTAAGTTACACCGGTGATATCGTAGTTATCAAACAAGCGCTTGTTATGAGGCTGACACCGACCGTATGAACGGGGTCACCTGATAGAAAACAAGCGCTTCACCCTGCAAGCTAACACCGACAAATGACCGGATTGGCAAGACTCTCATCCGACAGAACTTTCTGTTGATTGACTTGCCACATGTTGATTGCAATAACATCTGTAGCTTGACCACGGTCTCGTTTTCGAGGCAATTCTACTACTAGTTTGTTCATAATATCAACCAAAGCATCTTTAAAGTTACCTTTTTGAGTTGTTTTTAACTTCATAATTGTCAAAAGTAATCCAAATAATATATTACAGCTAGTTTGTTCATAATATCAATCAAAGCATCTTTAAAGTTACCTTTTTGAGTTGTTTTAACTTCATAATTGTCAAAAGTAATCCAAATAATATATTACAGGACACATTTATAATAATAATAATAATAATAATTTATTTCGGAAAAACGCTTTTAAAACAGCGGCACCCATTACAATAATGGTGCATCCAAAGTAACAAAATGAAATGTACAAAGAAATTCACAAAACCAAACAAAGGAATATACAATAAAAGAGCATGAAGTAAAAAGTCTAACCAAACCATTAAGGCACTCATCACAATAATGGTGCTTCAAAATTAACAGAATAAAATACATAGTGAGATGCAAATCAATAAAAGGGAAGTACTGTACCCAAAAAAAGAAAAAAAAAAAGAAAAAAAAAATTAAGTCACATAAAAATAATAATATCAATAATAATAATAATAATAAAAATCATAACATAGCACCATTTTTAATCTCAATTCTTTTTGCCCATGCCTTCTTAATATAAGATTTACAAAAATCATCAAAAATCAAATGAGCCAAGTCAATTAAGTGATTGGGTAGATTAGGAATAAACTCTGTGCAGTCTCCACCTAACATAAGGATAAGAAATGCATCAGTATCCTTTGTAAGGATCTGATTACATAACTCAGATAAGCCTGAGTCATAAAGTTTATTCACTAAAATTTCGTGCTCAGATAACCGAACTTTTTCAAGCTTATTACAAATAAACAGAAAATGTCGCAAGTCTTCAATACCATTGTTACACAGTAAGCATGTACCAGGATTATTATTATCCCACTTACTAGCTTTTATTTCAAGTTGAAGTGAGTTAGAGCGTGCCTTAAACTTAAGTTGAGCACCATAAAAATCAGTTTTAGTTAGGAGGTAACTTGGTTTCAAAGGCTTATTTAATCGATTTTAGAGTCTACTAATATGTAGAAAATACATATATATTTTTTTCTCCCCAACAAATTGTGCTTTTTCTCCCCGACGAGCGGGGGGGGGGGGCAACTTTCTTTTCGGGGGGCCTAGGTCCCCTGCTGGCGCCACCCTTGCGTGAGATAGTGTACGTACATGATTTTAAAATTACAGCTAATACGGTAGCCTTATCTTTAGCACTACAATTTACACATTCTAGCAAGGCTTATTAAATGCTGCCGAAAATATCCTAAATGTTAATAGGTAGGCTTAGGGTAGGTGAGAAAAATAACTCAAGAGAGTTTTATTTCGCTTTTTCGGAATGCTCTACCGAGTGAAGATGAACAAAATTGGATGTTAAACATATTTTGCCTTTTATTTGTCGATAGTTTGGGATGGCCTGACTACCCAATTCAAAGCAGTCCTAGCCCAGGCAGGCCCTCACCAAATGGAATTTCTGTTTTGTCGTCTTCGTTTTATTAAAACATCATCGTGAAATCAATATAAATAACTTTAATCTTAAACTTTTTTATATCAGTGTATAAGCGCTATAACTATCCGCTATAACTCTCGTGTAGACATACGATAAAATTTGATGCGACCTTGACTGGATTTCTCATTAACTTGCATCGGATAGGAGTGATCGTGAGAACATGGCTAAAGTTCTTGATACAGTACTATTACCAACATGCAAGGTCACTGAAGGTAGTACCTGTTCCACTGTAATTTAAAAGCAGCCTTCAGTTGTTTAATGGGTCATAAGTCTTCATATCATGTTAATGATAATGACTATGACTACGATGATGATGATGATTATGACAATCAATATTATAATGCTGATGATGATGACAACGAAAATGATGGTAATGATTATGGTTATGGTGATTACGTTGTTGATGATTTTGAGGATAATGATGATGTCGATGTTGATGACGCCGATGATGATTATGATGTTGATGATAATGATGTTGATGACAATGATAATGGTAGTGATAATGATGATGATTACTTATTTTACTTCATCGTTTGTGAGTCCACTGTTGAACATACCCCTCCACTAAAATCTTCCACCCTTTCTTCTGATGTTTCTCTAAACCAATTTTCACACCCACATTGATGTGCCGGGTTCAAGACCACACTATTGTAATGAGAGTAAAGAAAGAAACAAATGTACGATATCATATAAAAAACTGGATTTAATCCTTTCCTTCACAAACCGTTAGGTAATTTCATGAAGTAATAAATTCACTTATATTTGCCATGGACTTTTAAAGTTAATAGCTATTAACAACAATTGATTTGCATATGTAACATCCAATCATGAACCAGTATACTAGTTCTGAATAAGAAAACCAAATCAATATGTATCTGCACTCTCGATTCTGTACTTGAATCTTGTTATGTCTTTATATCTTTATAGGATGTAGTTTCTTAGATGAAGGGTTGTGCATCCAGTGCTTGCGTCCTATCACCACACAGACTTTTCAATCACTGTGTACCCCTCAAATGAAGACGGCTATAAATTAAATATAAATAACAAATTGCCAAAATGTGTAGGAACTCATTCCAAGTAAGCCTATAGAATACTAAAACCATTAATATTAATCATCATCAACGTATTCTTTATAAGTAAAGTACTATAACAACAAAGTACTTTAACATTTATAAATACGAGGAATTTTACAGCTAACTTGGCTAACCCTTTTACTTTGGTAGTGTAGTTGCAAGTGAATAGTATCTGCTACTATAGCTATTGTTCTCATACAAATGAGTTTCATAATTAGCATATAAGCCTACACCTGTACTCTTTGGCATAAATTATAACAGTACATAGGTAATCACTGTAAGACTTTGCACAGTAGCATGTAATCCTACTGATTGATTACTAATGATACTAACAACACTAATAATGATAATAATAATAATAATAATAAGACTAATAATACAGTACTAATCATAATAATACAAATCATAATAATAATAAATCATCACCCATAACAATGATGAAGAGCAATCATCCAATCTGTCCTGACACCAATATTTATTGTACATTCTGAAGTCGTCTGTCCACCTCTGTTTTTGTCTTCTTCGTTTTCTTTTACCTTCTTTGGGTATCCATTCGGTTACTCTCCTAGTTTATCTGTCATTATTAGTTCTAAGCACATGCCCTGCCCATATCCACTCATTTTTTTACCCTTCCTCCATTATGTTATTTGTTTTGATTCTCCGTCTGCTTGTTGCGCATGGTGTTTTGTCTAGAAACGTAAGTAAAGTATTTATTTATTAACGTCTCACCCTCAAACAAAGGCCAACCATACCTGGCTTATGAGAGACAAAATATAATAATACAAATAAAAACTAAATTTCGGAACATGAAAACAAAGGTTACCGTTAGAAAACATTATACGTAAATTTTTGCATATCAAGTAAGTTGGAAAATAATGGATTGATTATTAATCTTATTAAACAAATCAGAACGTAATGCATCATAAAATTCACAAACCATAAAACAATGAAATTTGTCTTCAATTACACAGTGGGCAAATTATTTGTTCGAGGGGCATGTTTTTGTATCTACCAGTTTCAACAGAAATCGGGGCACACCCAAAACGAAAAATTGTATACGCACTTCTGAAACACCTTTTCATGCGGTTCTTACCATAGTCTTCAGTAAATAATTCAAATTTGAAGTTACGGTAAGTTCTAAGCTTATTTCTTTGTTGCGGTGATTTTCTGTTATCGTTAAAGATCATTGCATCACGCCAACGGCTTTCAATAAAAAATCAGGAATTATTTACAATACTAATTATAAAGCCTTTGAATTGTTGCAGGAACCTAAATCCAGCAAAAGAAAATTATTTTTTGAATAAATGAGTGAACCTTAACATATGAATTTGTAAGAGCCAAAAACAGCACATAAAATAACAGATTAATTATTGCTTTTCTAGCGCGTATCATGCAATGTTTCCTGTGTGAGTTCAGCGCGTGATGTAGGCTACAGTGAACCGGTGAACGCTTGCATTCATTTTACTGTAACATGTGAATTTTGATGGAAGCAAAATTATAACTGCAAACCTAATTATATTTACATGATGAGAATCTACTAATCATAAGCTTTCCATTCATATATTTCATGAAGTAAAAAGAGCAATAGAAAGGGTCTAACTTATCAAACAAACACCAGGCACACTCCAGTCTTCGCATCAGTCGCAGGAGAAAATGATTACGCTGAAACAAGCGCCTGTATACAATAGAGTCGATGGTGTTTGGAAGGCTTGATTCTATTGGTTTCCAAAAGTGACAGAGCTAAATACTGACTAATCACAACCATCTTTACAACAAGTATGGTAGAAAGAATAAAGATCAACTTTACAGAGAGAAAGAAACTTTAACTTTGCGAGTTATTCTGATTAGAATTTGGTAAAATGAGCCACGAAAGGTAAAAAATCTGCTTTCTATGCTGGAAATCCAATGTAGTTGCTTACTTTTATTCGAAAAGTGACAGGATAAAATATAAATCTATCTCGTTTCATTTCATCTCATTAGACAGATGAAAGATAGATCTTTTATTTTAAAAAGGAGGAAAATAATCTGATCAGCAGTTCCAAAGTTATGGTAGAAAAGGCTGTAAAAAATGGTGTTTTCAGGTTTTTTTTTAGAGCAGTTTTATCAATTTATGCCAGCGCGCTACTAAAGAGCGCGTACAAAAGGCCAATTTTTAACATTTCGTTTACAAAGTACGGTAAATTTTACCATTTGTAAATTTGAAGAGGGATTCTACAATCATTGAAATTATTCATGTATAAAATAAATCTTGCTATACATTTAGTCTGATGGATGAAAGGCGGATCCCATCTCAAGTCACCCAAAACAGCATTATTAGGTGAAAATTTTCCAACACCCAAAAATTAACGAGCCGCACGATTAAACACGGAGTTAATTGAAAAAAAAACTCTTCAACACCCTCCCCAAAATTTCATTATTGTATTCAGGAAAAACACAAGCATCAAACAGTTTAGTAAAAGTATTAAAATTAGCGTCACAAACCAATTTACGCGATGCAGATGTGCTAATCAACTTTGATGAAATCTTAAAATTTAGAAATTCATCAAACCATATTCTCAAATACTTATAACCCCCGACAACCTCAATATTTTCTCCATTACAAGAACATTGGACTGCCGTTTTGTAATGCGATTTTGGACGAAAATGGACGACTTTGGTTTCAGAAACATATAATAATAAATAAAGTAGGGGAAAGCAGGCAACCCTGTTTCACGTACCCCATTACCCACGTCAATCCAATTTGTCAGGTGACTGTGGACGAGAACCGCACAACGGACGTTATTGTATAAACTTTTAATAGAGTTATAGAATTTGCCATATGCACATCAAGAAGACGAAGTTTATACCACAAACAATCACTGTTAAATTTGTCAAAAGCTTTTTGAGCATCGATAAATCATACAAGGGTTTGTTTTTTTACACAATTTTCTATTTTGGATGATAGACGAAAGTGAAAATATATGATCAATGCTACCTCTACCCTTTCTGAAACCATTTTATTCTTCATTTAAAATGATATTTCCTTCAACACAAACAGACAACTGTTTACGTAAAATATCACAATATATTTTACACTTTGTTGAAATTAAATGTATACCTCTATATTTTTTACTCACTAGGGCAAATTGCACATAAAAAACATTTAACAAAAATACCGTGAACAATTTTGATAATTGTGTTGTTTTTTTTGGTTTCTGCAATAATCCCATCATTTCCGTTAGCCTTATTTGGCATATAGCTCCCATAAAAGTGCTAAAAACCTCATCAAAAGAAAATTTTCTATTGAAACCGTTAGTGGCTTTATCTCTAACAGATGATGATTGCTCTAATTTTGACTATTCTTCATTAACATTAAATAAATCCATATGGTTAAATGAAGCTACATCGAAATCATAAAATGATTTAAATTCATTCTCCCATTTATTTACAACATTATTATTATCGTGACATCACACTGTCATTGTTAACAATTACAATTTCAAATGGAACTATCGATTTATTAGCGCCAGCAATACCTATTTTGCAATTTAAAAAAAAAAAAGAAGATGGATATTCTTTATTAAGATCATCAATTTTATTTTGGTGTCGAAGTTGGTGTGCTCGTTTTGAGCATTTAACAGAGCAATCAAAATTGTTACGAGCCAATGTATAATGACCAAATTAATCCATAAGTTTTCTTTTTGAAATAGATCATTCCAAAATACTTGTAATTCTTCATTTTACCATGCTTAAAGCTTATGTCTATGAGATCGCTTAGTAAGCTGTTTAACACATCTTTTCTGAAAACAGTTTTCTACCGCATTAAAATGAAAGAGTAGAACTGGCCAACTGCATGATATATTATATCATTTTATAATACAATATATCATTTTTCCCATTTGGGGAATCATCAAAAACATAGGCCTATATCAGATCGCTAGCTTTCGAAATGTTACAAGGATCAATGAAAACATTTTGTGGTATATCTTTAATTACAAATAATGTATTAATTCTACTATTAATGCTACAAAAAATGTGCATTAAACATGTCACTGCATTCAAAAGAATTCACCACATAACCGGCATCATACGACCAGGTAAGTAGAGAATGATCCGACATAGCCGAACCGGAATTCTCTCCAGTATCAATAATGATATTAGTGATGAGATGAACATTAAATTCATAGAAACGGTTAAATTCATCATATGGCGTGATACAGTAATCCACAGATTTACCCTTCTGAGAAATATAATTTAAATTTATTTTCCCCGTTGCTCTACCATTTATACAACCCATATTAACATTAATTAGGAATTCAATAAAAGATTTACTTTGAGAATTTACTACATAATCTTTAACGAGACGAGGCTCAACTTAATCATTCAATTAACTGGTTCTAGCATTAAAGTCCCCACAAATCTGTAAACTACCCACATTTTGGAATTTATAAATATCTGAAAGAAGAAAATCAAAGAATTCTTTCGAGTTACCATCCCTGGATGAGTTTTCTGGGGGACGATAACAACAGAAAATACAAAATACTGTATTATTTGATCGGTTTCTAAATTTTTCCCAAATAACACCATCTCTAGTCACAGGGGAACTTACATTAAATAGATTCAAAATGCTGCAACATTCCAACAATCAACATGTAGATAACGATAACCTTCTTCTTCCTACACGTTAATACTTGGCTCCGGACTAGCAACAGCCGATTCAGCAGCAACTAACACCTCATCGTATGTGTAACATGCGTCTTACAATTTCTTGTGTTATTTTAGTATTACTTTGATCGCTTTGGTAAGATGCCAGGTCTCAGAACCATATATCATGGCAAGTATCACACACCGTTCTTTCTAAGCAGGATGAATACAGTCTTCTAAATTGCAAAACAAAAAATCCGGTGAAGAATTTTTTTTTCCTCATACACCATCGAAATCAAGAATCCATAAAGAATAGGCCTAACCATCATTCGTCGTCACAATTAGGGGTCTTAAATGCAACATACAACCTATCTTCTTTTAGTGGTCGTTCTCTTTCATTGAAAACTAAACGTGCCGCTTATAACATGCTGGAGAAAATAAAAGCGAGCGAAGAAAGTGCACCTTCTAGTTATTTGGAATTACAGTATATATAATAATATTGTTATTGTGTCCTCGTGTTTCCGCAGGTGTTGGTAAGGTAACAGAATTCAATATCCTGAATGTTACTGATGAATCCTTGCTTGAAGTGGGAGCGGTGGATGTCTTTTCTCAAAAGTACGTAAACAATAATTTATTTTCCTGACCGGTATATATTTAATATATGTTTATTACGGTGTGGTAAGATGATTATAATTGTAATATTCTTTTCTTCTGTTTTCTTGTGAAATCCACGTCTACTTACTATTTTGTAAAATCAAAGTGTTAACAGATAATCCTAATAGCGTGGTACCTGTGCCCTTTACTAAACTACACAGCTTCAATAATCGAGGTTGCGAAAATGTTAAAATGCTTAAATTGAACATGTTTTTGCTATAGTGTTTGTTAGATAAGATGTTTCAAGACTTTAATTCGACAACTTGTATTTTATCAAAAGTTACAACCCATATTTTTTTATAATTTGGTGTAGCTCATTTGGCTAATCTGGTGGTAGCCACTGTGTGTGCGCTGAACAGTGGGGTCTTTAGGTCCCCGATTCAATGGGTAGTTGCTAAATACAACGGGTTCAGCCGAGGGGGCGTGCCTTGTATATGGTGATGACACTGTGTGACCAATGTGAATTTAGCAAGGCGCGAGAGGCTAGTTGCTCTTGTGCTGCTGCTACGGGCGGGTGACGGACGATCGAGTCCATTTCCAGACGATTGGCCTAAGTAGTATAGACGTTCGTAGGTTTAGGCTCCCTCTAACTAAGCCGGGCTAGGTCGGACCAGGAGGTCTTTTCAGTAGTCTGGAGCCTGGTCCTAGATTGTGTGTCCAGCAACCCGCAGCAGTCCGTCTAGGCCTATGCCTCATTTACGTGAAGTTAGGCCTATGCAGAATCTGTTATAAGACCCTCGCTTAGGCTACTGAAGAATCTGCACTGAATAGGCGCATAATACATAACATTTATACAATACAAATATACACAACATTGGAAAGTTAATATATTTACTTAATTTACATATATTAACATTCGGTTCTCTTTTTCTGGAATAAAGCCGGCAATATTGCTTCAAAGCAGTGAACACTAAAAAAAAATCTTAACTTCGGCAGTCATTTTGTAAAAGTTGTGATTATAATTTATAAGGCCCATTTTTTCTTCCAGTAAGATAAATTGTTCATAAGATTAGGATTGGAAAATCCATAGACTAAGTAGTACAGGGTGACGCCAGGATTTGCCCGAGGTCCGAGGTCCCCGATGGGGGGGGGGAATTCCCCGACGAAAAAAAAATGTAAACGTCCCTCAATATCCGTCGAAAGTGTTCACGGGGAAAAAAAATGTTTGGTTTGAAAGGCTTACTTAATTTTGGTGTCTACAAATAATAATAGGCCTATGTAGAAAATACATTACGTTTTTTCTCCCCAACGAATTATGGTTTTTCTCCCCGACAGGGGGTGGGAGAGAAGCCAGACCTCCCCGACGGAGATATTAATCCAGGGATCCTAATTTTTGGAAAGAAAAACACACAGGGACAACTTATTTTTCTTAATACATTGGTTGTACCATGAAGGAATTAGTAGGTAGGAGTGTATTTTGCTATGCTGTGTGATTACAGACAGGGCCCACACTTTGTCGAGGAGATTAATACAAAACATAGCTGAAGTTAAGCATGACGTCAACATATGAAGCCACGCCCACTCTGCAGAACCCGTTGTATTTAGCAACTACCGGTTCAATGCCTCTCCTTGTGTTTCAGATGGAGGGCTGAAAAGCAAGTTACAATAGCGCGTCATCTTTCGGATGAGACTTTTAAGCCATTGGTCCCGTGTGCATTTATGGCCCATGTGCACTTTACAGAACGCAGTACATTCAGAAAAAAGTAGAGGATTGTCCCCTGGTGCACTGCCCAATCACCACCAGAAGGACCCTGCTGAAAATAAGTCTTCTTCTAGACTTTCGTTGGTTATCCTTGGTGTTTGCACCGAATAAATCCAATCTAATGCAATCCATATATTTACTTTTATTATTCGTAGGCCTATCTTTTTTTGTAAATGAAACAAAAATGCTTTAGTCCGATTTATTTTATGTTTTTATTTTATTTAATTCTACCAACAGCAATAAATCTAAATATTTATTATAATTATATATCATAGCATTAAATTTCATTTCTCATCTAACATATTTACCTCAGATCATTTCCTTGCATACTGATTAGCTCAGAATACATTTGTACCGTATTCCAAATCAACGCTTCTCAGTTAATTGTTTTGTTTGGTGCCAAATGTTTCTGAAACGGAGATTGGCTAATCTTGTTTGTGTTGCTGCTGATGCTGCTGCTATTGTTGCTGCTGTTGTTATTTCTGCTGCCGAATATATCCAGGTTTCAACAACATCACCAGTTTACATATTAAAACAAATTCAAAACAATAAAACATATATACACCCTTGACTGTCGCTTATCTGTTGTGTTACCTAATCACTTCACTTTGTTTCTAAATAAAGTATCAAGGTAATTTGCATTTCTTTGTGAAACCCATGTGATATCCTATTTATTATTATTAATATTGCAATGTATTAATATTATTTCTTTTTATTTTTCACTTAATTTTTCTGCTGAATATTATTGCATGTGATACTTTGTATCTTCTCAATTTGTTTACTTTTCAGAATGCCTGACACTATTCAAACATCTACAGTTGCAAAAAATAACAACTTAGGTAAGATATGACAGTTATTTTATATATTTTATGCATGTATAGTCCTCTTAATACACATACAATCTACATATTGGCATTAGTCCAGACAGAAATGGTAAATTATATTTGCGATCATGGGAGACATCGTGTTTTATTATTCTGTTTATATATCTTATTTTAATAAACTGTGATGCCATAAAATAACGACGACATTGACCAGTATGTGGTGTAAAGCTCAGTCCCATAGGCACAGAGGACAGGAAGTAAATGATGATCATCATCATCTTCATTATCAGTGTTAGTGATGGTGACGGCGATAATGAAATTTATGATGATTATAATTTAAAAAAATGATGATGATGATGATGATGTCGATGTTGATGATGCCGGTGATGATAATGATGTTGACGATTATGGTGATAGTGGTGGTGGTGATGATGATTATGATCAGAACTCTAATGAAGGTGATAATGATGATGATTATGGAATTCTAAATTGCAAAACATACAATCCGGTTTAGAAAATTCTTTGGTTCGCACACTGTCAAAATCATACTTCTAATACAATAGTATTGATATTTTTAATAATTTTATTTATAGTTTAACATAGTCATGTTAAACATCAAAGTAACTAAATTGTGTCATTGCCTTTTTTTTATAAACACAAATTATGTTGCACCCTATCTGATATTATCTTACTGTACATTGCCTTATCTTTCATAATAATAATAATAATAATAATAATAATAATATAGGCATAATTATAATAACTAGATGTATGTGAACGTCGCGATTAGTTTCGATAAAAGGAACAATATGACCACTGTAAGAAAATAGGTTGCATGTTGCATGTTACCTCGTTCAGTTATTACTTTAATCATGTATGCTTTAATTATGTCAATTAATAAAAAAAAAACAGTGGTTGGATCATGTTATATCATTTAAAAAACATGCATTATTGACTTAAAAGTTTTAATAGCAGTTTCATGTAATTTTTCATAACATAAAAATATTTAGAATCCAATAAAATAAAATTAAACAGCGTTGGTCAGGGGCAACTACAACATAAAGATGTATTGTAACACATGATAAACCGCAAACAACTGTGTTGACAAAAATCGACTGTGATTGTTAACCGATTGTGCCTGAAAACCGAGTGTGTTTGTCGAATGTGTTTCCGTTTTGGCACTCCGAACGATCGTTAGGTTTATTACATAATTTTAATTTACAATTTGTTTGTATCTATCATTTTTAAGGCTATTCATATCATCATCATGTACATATAGTTTGTTTCTACAATTGCCTACTGTTCCATAGTGCTGGTTGCAGACACTTTCAAAACATTAGGATTCTTATTATTAATCACTTAGGCTGAGCTGACGTTGATCGTCTCTCATTTTTTTTTATGCAATTTAATTCAACATGGTAGGCTACAGTCTCTTGTAAAAAACATCTATAGTAGTACTCCAAAATAAGGCATAATGGAATTTCTATAATACATAACAAATGTATGCACCCAGGTTAAACTGTCTAGAGGTTGCAAGAACACTTCGAGTAAGAGGTGTTTAAGGAGCTACCCCCTCCCCAATAAACTAACTATTAACATAAAGAAAAAGCACAATATTGTGAAAAGTACAACCAAAATGCACAAAATTTAAAATTAAGATTTTAAAAAAAAATTGATAGTCTTGTAATCAGATGTTAAAAATTACCAGTTTTATACGATTTCGTGGTCACCAAATGATATAGTCGCCGAATGCTAAAGTCGCCGAATTATGTAGGCCCTACTCCTCAGATGTCGTGGGTTACCGAATTCTCTCTAGTTGCGGCTATTTGCGCCGAACGATAAGCCTCGGCCAAATGCGTTGTAGGCGTACCATTACAAATATTATTTCGAGGGAACGAAATATTATTATCTGAGAACGAAATATATTTTGAGGAAATTAAATATTATTACGAGGGAACGAAATATTATTTCGAGGGAAGGAAACATTATTTTAGGGGAACGATATATTTCAGGAACGAAATATTATTTCGAGAGAACAAAATCATATTTGTTCTAACCATGTCCCTTTAGTGAAAACGGTAAATTTTTTCCCTCAATTAATCTGAGATATGGAAAGATATTGACTTCATGAGACTTTGATGACCTCAGTTTTTATCAGGTTGGTAGGTTTCGAATCCTTAGATTTATTGAGTCAGTAATTATTGAAATTATATATATATATATCTGTCTCTTATACACATCTAGATGTGTATAAGAGACAGATCTTACTGTACATTGCCTTATCTTTCATAATAATAATAATAATAATAATAATAATAATATAGGCATAATTATAATAACTAGATGTATGTGAACGTCGCGATTAGTTTCGATAAAAGGAACAATATGACCACTGTAAGAAAATAGGTTGCATGTTGCATGTTACCTCGTTCAGTTATTACTTTAATCATGTATGCTTTAATTATAAAATAAGGCATAATGGAATTTCTATAATACATAACAAATGTATGCACCCAGGTTACACTGTCTAGAGGTTGCAAGAACCCAATAAACTAACTATTAACATAAAGAAAAAGCACAATATTGTGAAAAGTACAACCAAAATGCACAAAATTTAAAATTAAGATTTAAAAAAAAAATTGATAGGCTTGTAATCAGATGTTAAAAATTACCAGTTTTATACGATTTCGTGGTCACCAAATGATATAGTCGCCGAATGCTAAAGTCGCCGAATTATGTACTCCTCAGATGTCGGGGGTCACCGAATTCTCTCTAGTTGCGGCTATTTGCGCCGAACGATAAGCCTCTGCCAAAGGCGTTGTAGGCGTACCATTACAAATATTATTTCGAGGGAACGAAATATTATTATCTGAGAACGAAATATATTTTGAGGAAATTAAATATTATTACGAGGGAACGAAATATTATTTCGAGGGAAGGAAACATTATTTTAGGGGAACGATATATTTCAGGAACGAAATATTATTTCGAGAGAACAAAATCATATTTGTTCTAACCATGTCCCTTTAGTGAAAACGGTAAATTTTTTCCCTCAATTAATCTGAGATATGGAAAGATATTGACTTCATGAGACTTTGATGACCTCAGTTTTTATCAGGTTGGTAGGTTTCGAATCCTTAGATTTATTGAGTCAGTAATTATTGAAATTATATATATATATATATCAATATTAATATTGTTATCGATATGTTTTGTTGTGTTTCCGTAGGTGATTGTAAGGTAGCAGAATCTAATAACCTGAATGTTACTACCATTTCCTTGATCGCTGTTTGTTGTGTTCTTGCGATCTTAGTAATTGTTTTCTTCGTAATCAGCATTAGAAACAAAGGACACAAAGTGAAACCATGGTGAGTTTTGGTGTTAGTATAGGTTTTAGAGGGTGAAGCCGACCTTACAAGGACGCCTAATTTTTGACATGTGTAATAGAAGGGTTAGAAATAATATATTCATGAAATGTCCTTCATCGCAGTTTAATGCGCTCAGCGCCTGCACAATCAGGCCTTCCAAACCGTTCCAGACTTTGTCGAAACCGGATAATATTTTTATTTATTTATTCAAAGTTTATTCAAAACCTTTTCCATTCACAGTAAAAGCTGAATTAAAACAACATTTACAGCTAAAACAATAAATAAGTAAAAAAAGTCAAGCACACAGTATAAAAAAACCATAAAAAAATGTGTACCGACAACAAATCGAAATGAGCAAACTAAGTTCATTATTCACCCAGAATTATCCGACAGGCTCTTTTTTAGATACGTTGTGTATTCGAGCAAGGGACGAACAAACCGGGTATAAGCAGTAATCAAATCTCGGACAGATTAGGCCAAACCGTCTTAAAGTACTAATAATTAGAATTGAAATAAACGATGACTTGCACGCTTAAGCATGTCACCGATGTGGGCGTCCCATTTCAAGTCACTAGTAATTTTGACACAAATTATCTTGAGCATATTAACGCATTGTAGATCTTGTCCACATAATGTTAGTGATAGCAACAGAGATGGGGTTTTCACAAAGTTGACATTCATATACGGCAGTGGCTATTGGCACTGCCGCAGTGCCGATTTGGCACTGCTGCATTGCGAAAATGCAGCTGTTTTCTATCGGCACTGCCGCTGTGCGAACAAGTTACTGTTTTCTATTTCTATAATAAAGTTTCTATTAAAGTGCGAAAAGCTGCTGTTAATTCATCGAATTGATGTTTTTATCGATAATTGATTTATAATTGGTTTACAATTAACTATAATTTTTTCTAATTAGATTATTATATATACGGTACATTATATATTATATAGTCGTAGGCATATATATGAAACAAAAATTAAACAAACAAAAATTGTAATAATAACAATAATAATAACAATTTCAAGATAGTTTGATTAATGAGATAATAATAAATCAGCTTATTAAAAAAACTTAAATAAAAATGTTATCTGTTTTATTCTGTTTTAAAAAATAATCTTATAATTTTATTTTCTGTAATAATTTTATCAACATAATTCATGTTTTCAATATTACTATGGTTAGTTATAAATATATAAAATAATAATATTATTAATATTAATAATAATAATAATATAATATAAAGGTACTCGAATAATGCTTTAATAAAGAATTATATATAGGCCTAATAATAAATATAAATATATATAATATGCGCTATATAAATATACAATAATAATAATAATAATAATATATATGTATATAATAAATAATAATAATAATTATACATATATATATATTTATTTATATATATATAATTTTTATTATAACTAAAAACTATAAACTAATTATTATATGTTTATCGTCGCTATTTCCATGAACCGACAAATACGAATATTCCTATTGAAAAATTACTATTTTTCGATGCCAATTACTGACCTGAAAAATTCGTTGCAGGATTCTTGTATTTAATAATTCAAATATATTAATAAATTGTAGTTATAGGTCACAATGTTTATATCAATCTATTAATTAATTAGTAATTAACTAGTTTAAGATGTTAAGATATATTAATTGAGATATATTAATTAAGATATTCGTAAGTTCATGTGAAAATTATTTACTTAATTGCAGTTTATTTATACGGCAATTACATTTACATCCATATAATTTGTAAGATTATTTTCTGAAACAAAATAAAATAGGCGACATTTTTTTTAAAATTTTCATAGACGTAAGTTGATTTAATGTGCTGAATCATTATTAATGGTATATTTCTATTATATATTTCTATAAATTAATCAACAAATATCTCATTAATCACATTATCGTAAATATGCCTATTGAGGTATTATTAATTCTTTATTGAAGCATTATTCGAGCACTTTTATTATTATTAATATTATTATTTTTTTTAATTTTATTTATCAACCATAGTTACGTTGAAAACATTAATTATGTGGATAAAATTATCACAGAAAATAAAATTAGATTATTTTCTAAAACAGATATATTTCTATAAATTAATCAACAAATATCTCATTAATCACATTATTGTAAATAGGCCTATTGAAGTATTATTAATTCTTTATTAAAGCATTATTCAAGCACTTTTATTATTATTATTATTATTATTTTAAATATCAACCATAGTTACGTTGAAAACATTAATTATGTAGATAAAATTATCACAGAAAATATACTTATAATTTATAAGATTATTTTTTTCAAATAGAATAAATAGATAACATCTTTATTTAAAAACATGTTTTGCATAGACGCAAGTTGATTTAATCAGGGAACAGTTAAATTAATATATGCTGATTCATCTCATTAGTCAAATATCGTATAAAGGTTAATTAAAGTATTAATAAAGTATTATTTTAATCATTATTATAGTATTATTCGAGCACTATTATTATTATTATTAATACTATTTTATTTTTTATTTTTTTTATGTATGGGCCTAGACATATATTTATATGTATATATTTAATAATTAGAAATAATTATAATTAATTGTAAAAAAATAATCAATTATTGACACCGTAATATATCTATAAAAACATCCATTTGATTAATTAAACAGCAGCTTTTCGAATGGCAGTGCCGATAGAAAACTGCAGTTATTTGGCACTGCTGCAGTGCCGATAGAAAATCTAAGCTTTCTTCGCACTGCAGCGATGCCGATAGAAAAATAACAGCATATTTTGCACTGTGTGGCAGTGCTGATAGAAAACAGCAGCTTTTTCGCACTGCGGCAGTGCCGATAAAAAGCTGAACATCCATGGAATTAATGCAGGTTTAGCATCCATGTTTAATAACTTAGGAATTGCTATATTGCTTTTCAAATAATATATTGGAAAAGCAGACTATACATCCAAATACTCCAAATGTTGGAGACGTGTAATATAATAGTTGTTTTTTGTTTTTTAAAGTAAAAGAAAGTTATACCTCCAATAGAGCAGGCGAAATAGTTTTAGAGTAAGCGCCATTCTCAAATAAGCGCCGCACAAAATTCTATACGGCGCTTATTCAAGGATTTACGGTATATTATTACCTAGAACCCTTATGCCCAACATATCTTTGTGTTGCTTTCTCGTGATTTTGTGAGGTGCCAAGTCTCTGAACCATGTTAAAGAATCCTGTTTTCCAAATGCCATGTAACCCTATTTTATTCTTTCGTTTATCTTTTTGTCGACATCCTCTATACTTGTTGTTTGATCCAGATACTTGTAATGTGTTGCTCTATAAAACCGAAAGGTCCACTGATTAATATCAGATAAGATAGTATAATACATACTCCAAGTATCGAAATGCACACCATCGTGGCGGGATTCAACATTTCGACATTAATTATGTCAAACATCATTACTCTATCTATGCCATAATTTCAATAATACATCAGTGTTGAAACTTATAGTGTCATGTAAGCATATCTGAGAGAAAACAACGTTAAACTAAAAATGAAATCTGAGAAAAATAGAGTGTTGTTTGTGTATCGCTTTTCTTCGGGAATGGTAATATCTGATGGTTTTAACCGCACACATGCAACTTGCTGTATGTTACAACCTAATTATTATTTTATTAGGATTATTTCCATTGACAAAGATAATGAAAAAGGGGAATCTCGAATGCTGCCAGAAGAACCGAAAATCGAAGGTAGGCCTATGCACTTAATAATAATATGTTGTAAAGTAAATGATAATATGGGAATAAGAGGAAGATCAAACATAAAATCTTTGAGCGGACAGTATTTTTGTCATCTGTTTCAGATAATGCATGTTTATATCATGCTCGGTTCAAAACAGATGGTAATGATGGCATAGATGAAAGTAACATACTTTCAGGTAATAGACAACCGGAAAACAAAGACGCCACCTATAGCGTTGTCAATGATGACCTGAAAGCTGCTTGCAGAATTCTTCCATCCGTATTGGAGACTCCACAAGAGCCACCTTGCTTAACCAACGTCTATGATCCATTCCAGGAGGTCAGTTTATCACCAGAAGGTTGGATGAGGTCTCGAATTGGAAGCACCCCATCTTATCGATTTGCCAGAGGGTTTCAACTTCAGAACAGCACTGCATCAACATATGAATGCAGTATAAGGCCGTTTTCTCGGTCAACCAACGTTGTCTCAGAGATGGAGAGCTCCTACGAAGATATGAACAAAACATCGTGGTCTTCGTCAATGTGTTGACGTGCCTTAAACCTAGAGTTAGTGGTTGACCATTGTCATCTATAATTTCATTTCCTGATATACAGATTAAGCACATGCTTAAAACTTATTACTAGTAGCAAGCGCGCAATCCACAGTGCATCATGAGCAGAAATTTTCCAACAGCAAGTGAACACTACGCAGAAGTGATAATATCTCAAAAGTTCGAATTTATATTAATTTTGCGCGCATGCCTACTTTAAAGACTAGTTAATTTATTTATATCACCAATGAAAATACCCACAACACAAACTATATGCCAAATCCAGTATGCATAGTTTAGTTGGATGTAACTTATCATTTTATTGTCTGTTTACAGTGACGTAAATATATTAATTAATAATATATTTTAATTGCGAAACGCCACAAATTATTGTTCACAGCTCTTTAACTGGATGCTCACTATATGCGCACAGCTTTTAATTTTGGGTATTATTGATAAGCCGGTGACATTTTACATAGTGCCAGGGGCGTCTAGTTCAATTATGATGCGGCTTTCTTGTATTATATTTTTTCATCCCATAAAATTGTATTTTATAGGCTCATCATAGATTGTATAACATATCACAAGTGGCGTAATAGGGTGGGGGGGGGTGGCAGGCGCAACTTCTAATATTTTGTTCCAGTTTAGAATACTTTATTAAATTTTGAGCAGCCTAATAATCCAAATATCATATATCATAATAAAGATGATATCTACAAGCAGGCCTATAATATCTAGGCGTCATTTGTTTTTAACTTTATTTAAAGACATCCAAGACTTTGAAAAGCTTCCTGTTTCAACTTAAGGAGAGGTGAGCTACTACACGAGTAGTAATGACCTTCCCAGCAAACAATAATACGTTATAATAACGTGACCATAACGTTACAGTTTTGTGTTGAAAACTTTATTTTGTAGAACCATAAATACGTACTGAACATAATTTCACAACGTTTGCACGTTCCTACAACGTTGTGTAAACGTTATTTTGTGACATACCTAACCACAACATTGGCAAAGAACGTTATAAGAACGTAAACAAGTGTTTGCCGGGTTTATAAAGAAAATAACTCGTGGCTTGACAACAGGATTCCATTTTCTGATGAAGTTATTAATGTTTTGACACAGAACAGGGATATTGTTTCCACACCAGCAGAAAACCCACAAGAGACTTAAAAGCAACCCAAACCGGGACGTCCTATCGAAGTATGGGAGGATCTTTCCAGAGAGTTCGCACAAGGGTAAAGTACAAGAGATGTTGACATAAAATATACGCACTGAACTTCTTTATGCAGCATTGCAAAGGGCGTTCAAGAAGAATCAATTTTAGAGTCCACTAATATGTAGAAAATACATACACATTTTATTTCTCCCTGACAAATTTTAGTTTATCTCAACAACGTCGGTGTGGGGGGGGGGAGCTCTCCTCGACGGGGAGTTCTCCTCAACGGGGACCCTGCCCCTCCCCCCTTCCCTCCCCCTGCTGGCGTCACCCCTGAGGCGCAAACCGGAATCGTTCACGACAGATTAAACATTGTCCATCTTTGTAGCTCCATAGTAAAATGAGACACCTCCTTACACCAAAATAAGAGTAGCAAAAAACCATTGCTATCCTGGTGGTAAAGTATACCTGTCAAAGAGGACAGCAAAAGCCTCCTCGTTCACACTGAGAATTATTTATAAAAAAAAACATAAAACGACCATTATCGATACTTTTACAAATATAGACCCCATTGCTTTAATGAGAAATGAAGTTGAAATTGAAACAAAAAGAAAGGTCGTTGTAAGGTATAAAGTAAAACAAACACGAAAAACCAATGTAATTTTGATGAAGTGGGGGAAAAAATAACAACAAAAGCCAAGTTGACTGCGACGTTGTTAGTGAGACTTGAACTACGGCTGCAATGGTAATAGCGAGGTAAGTACATCGTGACTCATAACCATTGCATTTTCAGTTCATAGCGATTCAATGGAAAAAAGCAAGAATTCATGCATATCATGGTAGTTTAGAGTTTAACCTAGCTGTAACTGATTTAAGCGCTTTAAATAATTTAATCAACTTTAAACGAAATAATCTTTAAATGGTTCTCATATTCACACCCTACAGCGGATCGTCACTAAAATTGAATCATTTCTTTATTTCACCATGAAAACTATTCTGTACAGTCTCATTTTTATCCGTCTATAACTGGGACGTAAACAATTTAAATGACCCTTAAATTTACACCCTAACCTGGATCGTCCCCTACACATAATAATATTATATTATATTCCGTTCCTTGGCACGTATTGGCCAAGGACATTTATTTCATTTTTTATATAAGGCCTTTGGCCCAAATAAAATATAATAGCTATTTACAGAGGGAATGATCACTTCTACGTTTAAATGAGTGATAAA